TATCTTATATTATTAGATATGTTATTATAAAACATACTTTAGTTAAGGAATTATTGATACTTCAAGTTCAAAATGATAATATAAAACCTTGATGAAAATGCACTTTTAATTACTAAATATCTACCATTTTTGAATTATGTCGAGGATTAACTAAAATAAATAAGTTGTTGTACTATCATTTGATTTATAGGTTAATTCGTCTTGTTTTAACTTTCCTTGTTTCCACTGCCACTACAGAACGAACATTTTCAGCTATAAAATATATTAAAACCAAGCTTTGCAATAAAATAAAAGAGAAGTTCATAGCAAATTCTATAATGATTTACATTGAATGATAACTAGTTGAAGATATTGATTCGGATTCGATCTTACATGAATTCTATTCTACAAAACATCAAAGGGTGCAACTTTGATAGTATAATTTATTTTTATTTTTATTTTGAATTTTATTTACTTTATAAAAATATATTGAATTATATATTTAAATTAAAATTTTATTATTAATTTGATAAATTTATATATCCAAGTAAAGTAAACGATTAACTTAAAAAATACTTTATATATATTTATATCATAACCGATCAATTCCTGGCTCGCCACTGTTTATAAGTAATCATCTTTCATAGGAGAGATTGCTGTATCTACACGGCGACAATGATCGATATTAAAATTGATTTTCTGAACTAGATCCCAAGATATGATCTTTTCAGAGTGGAAGCGGGTCGTCCTTGATTCTGGCAAGAAACAAATATAGATATATGTGTGCGTAAGGCCAGAGGCTTTAAACTAATTAAGTACAGTTCATGAGGAATTAATGATGCCTGCTCCTTTAATTTTTTTCTTTAATTCTGCTCTTGATCAAGTCTCTAATATATGCTTAAGTTGGAATAATTATTTGACAAAACATGAGCAATTAAAAAAAAAGTACCTAGACAAGCAAATTAAGACCACATGTAGCCATGAAAGCATATTCACCAGTAGAAGCAAGAAGCTTTATATATATATATATATATATATATATATTCCATCAGTACTGCAGAGTAAACAGACATAATTAAATTATCCTCTCTCATTTCAGTCTCCAATCGACTCATATGTATCCCTTTTGTATATTTCTTTTGAGTATTAACTTAAACTCTGGTCCGCTTTTAATTAAGCATTGTCTAAATCTTCCTCTCCTCTTATTTTTCCTTTCTTCTTCCCTTCAAACCCTCACTCTCTCTGCGCCCAATTTCTCATCCGTAATTGAAAATTTACAGAGAGCATGCCTGAATGTCCAGAGAAAGGTAAGAAGTACAAATGTCTATGTTTACATCTCTAGATCTCTCTCTCTCTCTCTCTCATGCAAAATTATTCCATTTTTTCCATGTAGCATGTACTTATCTGATCAGGTTTACTAATTTGACAATCCTCCCTTCTTCCTTACTGTACAGGAAGAGATTTGATGAGTTAGGCAAGGAGATCAAAAGAGAATCAGATGCCTCTTATCAAATGGGAAGAAGACACATGCTGGGTCCTCCTGGAACCCTAAATACAATTACTCCTTGCGCTGCCTGTAAGCTCTTAAGAAGGAGGTGTGCACAAGAATGCCCATTTTCTCCATATTTCTCTCCACATGAACCTCAAAAGTTTGCTTCTGTTCACAAAGTTTTTGGTGCAAGTAATGTCTCAAAGATGCTGATGGTAAAACCCTTATGCCCTAACCAATTAAATATTGTTTCCCTGAATATTGATTAACGTTTGCAATTATACGCGCTTCTTGTTCCTGTTTCACATGCTTTGTTCAATTATATGATCTGCTTTTGCATTATTTTTCAGGAGGTGCCACAGAACCAAAGAGCTGATGCAGCTAATAGTCTTGTTTATGAGGCTAATGTGAGGCTAAGAGATCCAGTTTATGGGTGCATGGGTGCAATTTCAGCCTTACAACAGCAAGTTCAATCGTTGGAAGCCGAACTTAATGCAGTAAGGAATGAAATACTGAAATACAGATATAGGGAAGCAAACATCATTCATTCTTCTCATGTAGCTTTGCTTTCCTCTGGGGCTGTTTCAATTGCTGCACCGTCACCAGCCCCCTCTACGCCACCGCCCCCAACAGCATCGCCCCCTCCTTCTTCCTCATCTTCCTTAATGTACACTCAACCGACCAGTAGTGCTGCTGCAGATTATAGCACAACTTCGACTGAAAATGTCTCCTTTTTTGGTTAATATTTATATTTCGAGACTGAAAATAAAACAATTATTTCTTTATCATGAATCAGGTTGAACAATAAAAAGAAAAGGAAAAAATAGATATATTTTATTGCGTTGGGGTTGTTCAATTAATTTTTTTTTTTAATTACAGTCCAAATACTTGATTCAAGTCTACAAATATATATGTCATTAGATAGCAGGTTTCTTTCATCTCCTCTCATAAATTGACTTTCAGGCTCTCAGTTCTGTATCAGCCCTCTTCATTCAAAGGCTACTACTTATCACTAGTATATTGAATCAAACGTATTGTATAGCAGCCAATAAAATTTCAGGAAGCCCCTTTCATAGATGCACCATCAAGAAATTAAAGCCCTAGCTATATTACTGAATATGTTTCTTGAGCCTCCTTGTTTACTTCAAATATTCACTTTTTTTTTTCTTTTTAACTCCACATTTGATTAAAACCCTAGCTAGAACTAGCTACATACACTAAAATTAGCGCTGCGAACAGTTATAGATTCAAGGTAAAATTTGCTGAGTGTGTTGGGATTCGAATTTAATGAGTGAACTCAATTGCTAGCTGGATTCCTACCGACAATTTTGGCACATGTAAATCTGTACTAGTGAAAGATCTAAAAGTTGCTTGGAGTTGGGGAGACAAAAGGTCTGCTTGTGATCATTCCTATGAAAGTTATTGGTTTTAAAATTTAGATAGTGGTTATTTTTTAAATATTTTTTATTTAAAAATATATTAAAATAATATTAATTTTTGTTTTTTAAAATTTATTTTTAACATTAATAAATAAATAAAATTAATTTTTTTACATAATGTTTTTCAAACGTTTCAAAAACAAACGGGTTTAATAGCATTCAAAATTGTTACTAATTTTTATATGTTCTTACTTAGGAAAAAAAATAAGAAAAAGGATAAAAAATGATATTCGAGTTTCTGTTTATGCTAAGCATTCTTATTTTGTTGTTTCGAGGGTAATTTAATACAATGGAGCTTAGTTGATGTTGCTAGCTTGTAAAGCAATAATTTGGGGTCGATTGACATTAGTTTTGCCAGCTATATTATTGTTTTGTCAAGGTTAGGTTTCTTTGGCCTGTAGACTTCAGCTTCATTAATCTATTGCTTCTATTTTGTAAGGTACCTCTCTGTTATGTTTATTTTTATTTTTATTTATTTTCACCTCTCAAGAAATATTTATTACCTTTCGTTCTAGCTCACTATACATAACAAATCAGTGTTGTAGATAATATAGAATTTAATAATTCTCTCTCATTCTAGTCTGGTGAAGTCGGAGATGTTACAGAAGCTGGTCTCGTATCATGGTTGCTTGAAATAGCAGCATCTTACCTCTTCCTTGGTAACAACTCTCCTAGATTTGCCTTGGCCATGTTAACAAATAACAAAGCAACATGTTTGGTATATCCCCATTCTCCTCCAATATCCCAAAATCTCATCTTTCTCTCCTCGTACATCGTCGGAGGATGACGACTCCGCTTTAGAAACAAAGGAAGTGATTTAAAATAAATTAATTTAGCAGAGAAACTATCCCATAGAAACATAGAAGACTAACTTTGAAAGAAAAACACATCTATTGTTACAACAACTAGGAAATTTATTACCAATCTTTTCAAAAATTAAAGGTAAGGGTTTGGTTATTTGAGAAGATCACCGAATAACATTATATATACATAAAACAAGTTGCATTGCATTCAAGTCAAAACATGTATATGTAGTTTTGTTTGTGATGAACTATCTAAACTTATTGATTGCTCATAAAAAAAAACATAGCAGAAGAGGAAGTAAAAGAGGGAAACTCGGCTAAGAAGAACTTACAATGTATCTAAAAATTTTAAAAATTCAACGGTGGTTGAAGTAGTTATAGCTCTAGTAGCTGTTGCGATGTCATAGTCGCACAAATTAATTACCCTAGCTTAAAACACAACACACAAGATAGTATAGAGCAAGCAAGGGGTCGATCCCACAAGGAAGATTTAGTTCAGATTTTTATGCTATACGTTATGCAATTGGGGGGTTTTGATTTGTGATGATCTAAACTATGGAAGAAATTAAACTAGCAAACAAAATCAATTGAAATCGAAATTTATCAAGAAAACAAACCTTGGTTGCAAGCACACATCCACCAACGGAAATTAGAACCGATCCTTGAAACAAAACTACAATTTATATTCTGAATTTTTATCTTTTCTTAATGTTGGTTAATTAACGGATCCGCCGTATAATTAACCCTAACCAACAAATAATCACAATGTCCGCATTAATAATTTAGTTCAATGGCAAAGTAAAGGTATTTGAGTGTTTTTCCTAAGTTTAATAATGTAGTTCCGCCACAATTATCAAGCTTAGTTGCTTCACAAGTTCATACATCACAACTCCGGTTTTGATATCAAACTTAGCAATAAATTGTTCACAATAATAACTTAGAGTTCCGCTCTAGCAATTATCAACAACAATCATAGAAAAAATGCATAGGAAAACAACCATACTTATTCATAATATAAACTAAAAATAAAAGGAAGAATAAATCTCACGGTTCTTGAAATCCGAAGGTTTGTTGTGTCCTTGCAACCAAGAAAAGAGCTTAGCCTTGCATAACCATTGAACAACTACTCTTAAAGAATGAAGAGAGCATGATTTTTTGGGTTTGTAGAGGAGAGAATTTGTGTTTCTTCACTTCTGGCTGCTGCCCCCCTTCTCTCCTCTCTCTCTTTCTTTTTATATGCTAAGAAACCCTAGTTCCTAATTTACAAAGTAGTCCTCCCTTAAGTTGACAATTGACATTTAAGTACTTCAATAACCATTTTCCCTAAAAAAGAGAAATAGCCTTGCATGAAATCTTCAAACTCTGACTTAGAGGAGCTAAATTGCTGATATAAAAACTTGGATGACGGTTTAGAAGCTTCGAAACGTAATTTGGACTCATTTCTTCACGAAACCTGATTGCTGGCAGAATTCATTTGTCATATTTTAAAAATCATATCTCCCTCATATGACATCATTTTTGGATGAA